CTTCCCGTAAGAAATTCGGTTTAACGGCGCGAGTTAGATTATCCACCGTCGAATAACCCGCATAATTCGATGGATCATAGTATAGTTTTTCAAACGTCATCGTTATCTCAATTTTTTCCAACCGAGCAACCGGCTTTTCCCTGTTTGCAAAGATACGGGGGGATATCAGTTTTTCGTTGGCGAGAAAGAATCAGCAAGCTTTCCTTGTCTATTTCTGGTTCGTAATTTTTACGTTTTTCTTCTTCTTCGGGCTCTCGATACGATCGACGTGGAACTTGCTCTTTTGATGTAACATCCGTACAACTCGCGCACGGTCGAAGTTTTACAATGTTTCCAGCATCAGCGTGCGCGCACAATAAACTTTTATTTCTCACCAGAAGATATGTTCAACACATGGAGTAATCGTGCAAACTGATTTCTACCCACTGCTTTCACGGTTTTTCTCTCGCGCATTATTTCGTTTATTAAGTCAGCAATATTCGAATCTTTCACGACGTTACCATCTATAGTCACGATTCCGTACTCGTCCCAACTAAGTTTATCGGGCACAGCTTTTCGAAGCAAATGTTTCATCAGTAAGTGTGCATGCTTACGATAAGATTTCGGTACGCTTTCCATTATTTCCTCGATGCTTTTTATCATATGATTATGCTCGCTCGAAATTTCGAAATTTTTTGCTGTAATATCCGTGTTACTATTGGAATGTGATGGCGGTGGTACGAGTATATCGGATGTTCGTGTGAGATCGTAAAAAACGTCATCGCTCGTCGTCTCGTTATCATCGGAGGCATCTCGTGTAGCGTTGTCTTCTGCATTTTCGTTTTCGTTATGTACGTCTTTCTGTCTTCGTGTTTCTCGGATAAACCGTAGGTATCTCCATAATGCCTCTCTGTACATTTTCCACCTCTCGCTTTCGTCACGAGGTCGTCTGTCGAGGAATTGAGAATACGACTTACCTCCGCATCGAGTCGTGTTAGATGAGTTCCCGGGGTTTGCGTTGTGTTATTAGAGCTCAAGGTGTCCGAATTTTGCGGTACTGCTATTTCTTTTGACTCTCCATCAACGAACGATGTCGGATTCCGACGTAGCTGATGCTGCATTCTCTCCAGATTTTTCGTCGAAATTAAAACCATTTTTTTAGCCCTCTCCATAACGTTTTATCTCTACTATTTCGTTCCTTCGATAATTAGCGATAATAAGGTCGATAATATAGGTCCGACAATATATAGGGTTGGCCATATTCGACGGAATTGGCCATATTCGACGGAAAGATGTTTTTTTGTTAATCATGGGAAAAAAAACACATTTTTTGCTTTTTATTGTAAAAGCCATTTAATATGGTTCAAGGAGATTTGTGTACATTATTTGTTGAATATGATATCTCTTAAATGATCGCCTTGAGCCTGCCATGGCGAGTTACAGTGTTGCCACATCTTTCCGTCGAATATGGCCAACCCTGTATAGTAAAAATCCGCCTCGCTGCACCAACAGCTTTCTTCGATCCTTCCAATTACCGCGTTTTGCAACGACGCGACGCAGAGCTTTTTTATATTTGGTTAACCGGTTTTTTTCACGCCGTTCGAGCGAGATGTTACCTTTGAGTGTATTAAAAACACATTCACAGATGCAACGAATTAATTTTTCGTCAGCGCTACGTAAGAAGGTTGTGCGTTGATCTTTGTTCAAATGATAGAGCGCCGTGAGGAGACAGGCGTTTCTCTTACCGATCGAATGTGTGACGATTTTCGTCGCTCTGTGCGATTTCGCGTCACCCACCTTCATCGCGAGAAAAAGCTACGATTGATACACGCGATTAGTCGTACTCAACTTTTATACGTATCCCCTGGAAAACGATCTACGCGGCACGTAGACGTAATGAAACGTATCCTCGGGAAAAATAGACGTTCGAAATCGATACTCGTCCGGAGTTGATTGTTTCAGATCAAGCAACAAATACCCGTGAGACCTCCATGTGGCGTCGTAGTATGCTTCTTCTAGAAATTTCAAATCGTCGGGATAGACTTGACGCGCTAAATGACGAATTTGAGCACGATCACGTGGACTTTTTAAAACGACGATGTAATTTGCGTTAAGCGATATATCGCGCTGTCCACGCCCCTGATGGAATAGATTCTGCGGGATAACAATAACACTGAGATTATTGTGATGACTACCATTGGTAAAAAGATCCACGATCGCGTCGCACGACGACGATTATCTCATAAGATCGTCGATTATCACTAATTTCGGAGAAAGCGGTTCGAGTAATCTTCCGGACGGGTTAATCCCTCGCGAAATTCAATTATATTCTTCTTCGCCGTTTTAGTATTGGTGCATCCCCAGGGCTGTTCTTTTACACGCGTATCGTATTGTAATCGACGATAGGCTTCTTGCCATTCCGCGTAATAAAACAAAATTCTCTCGAAGCACACATCGGACATGAGAGATAAATGTCTGAGGAAAGCCTTCACGAAGACCGTCTTCCCGCAGCCAGTCGGTCCGCATAGGATTGATGTCCAAGGATGTTTCCAACGAACGTCCATTTTACGAAATAAGCAAACGATCTTCGTGCTTGACTTCAAAAGCAAAAAGGAAAAACGTCATTATCGTTGATTTCTAGAACGCGTGAAAAAAAATAATTTTAAGAGAAGATAAGCTGATCAACGCGACGACTGGGACCCCTTCGCGCGGCGGACGAGTGCTCGTGCCAGCGTACCCCCGCGTGAGCTTGTCAGCGGAGAGCACGGCTGGCGAAAAGCTGATCTCACCAAGGTGCGACGCGCATAAGCTTATCTTTGCGTGCGTCAAAGAGATTTGCGATCGGCGTATATTTCTATCGTTAAACGAGTACGCGACATCGTCGTCGATAAGCTTACCGATGCCACTACCGCGATATTGCTGCGAGGGGAAAGCTTTTCGTTGAAATCGGAAAAAAAGGTTGGTTAAAATTAAGTAATAAATCACTTCTTGTTTTCCTTCAAGTAAAAAAATATTTTTATTCCATATTTTTCTCAAAAATAGAGAAAAGGAGAAAAGGAAACATATGTAATTAAAAATTTTTTTGTTTATATTTTTGCTAACTCTTATATAAAATTATCTTACATAAAATTCAATTATTTTTTGAAACA